TATGCTAGGGCTTGTTCCCACTTTTCCTCACTTGCTGTAGGCTTTGCTTGTACTGTGATCTATATGTATATATATACCTGCATGCTTGCTTTGCTAGGTAGAGATCACTGTGATGTTTGTGTTGCATATATGCCTCTGCATGTGAACTGGCCTTGTGGCCCTTTGCTTGCGCTCAGTGTGTATGGTGACGTTGTGATCCACCCTGAGCTTGCTTTGCCTTTCTTGACTGGTCTTGTGACCCCTTGCTCTCCCCCACTTTGCCTATGGGGGTGTGTCAAATGTCATATCTGCTACAGTTTGTTTAGGCTGTAGTGGGGTAGTTACTATGGGGTACAGTACGTTTAGGGTTTCCTACTTGTACCCAACTCTTTCCTAGTTCAATCACTCTTGTTCATTCTGACACTCACCTACCTGCTGACGGACCTGGGAGAGCGGCCTCGTTCTCCTCCAGTGCTATACGTAGACAACAAGGCCGCCATTGCCTTATGTCAGGAGCACAGAACGAAGCACATCGCTTTGCGTTACTTCCTTGCTCGAGAGTTGCAGCAGCGTGGTCAGCTTCGTCTTGCTCACGTGGCCACTCGGGTCTTGCTTCTTTGCTTCTCTTGACTGGTCTTGTGACCCCTTGTTCTCCCCCACTTTGCCTATAGGGGTGTGTCAAAGTATATGCATGTTATATATGTGTAGGCTGTAGTGGGGTAGCCAATATGGGGTATAGCCCCTTTTAGGGTTTCATACTTGTACCCAACTCTTTCATAGTTGATTCATTCCTGTCAATAGATTCTAGCTGGTTGTGATGACTGAGGCCATCTCCTACTGAAGAACAAGCGGAAGGAGCAGGATAGCCGTGTATCGAATCTTCGCGACGGAGTCCTTGGATATCTCAAACTCCAACTCGTCATCCGAATCATCATCCGTGAATTCGCCATCATTGTCATTGTCATTCGCAGAGGTAAGTGCAGCAAGCTTTTCCTCCAGTGATAGACCAGAGCTCCCTGCTACAGGAGTGACCGGCTCATTATCCTCCACTTTCTTCCCCTTTGTCCTCAGGCATCATAGCAGCAGGAGAGACAGCAGAACGCTTCGGCACCAGAGGAGCTCGTTCCTTCGGAGGTGCACGCGTCATGGCACTATGATGAGTATTATCCAGCAGCTGGAAACCTGTAAAGGCCTGAAATGCCTGTAGTGCTGGACACCTGAGCCTAGTATAATATAGCTGTATTGTTCCTCCGTCAGTCCAATATTCCTAGTGTAGGTGATGAGTTGACGCTGACATAACCAAAGGATGCTTGTCCATAGCCTTGATAACGCCATGAAATAAGAATAACCAATCACGATCTCGCTGTGAGAGCTCGTGGAAAGCAAAATAGACTGATGTCAGGATAGCAGATAATGAAGCCTTGAGATTGTATGGATGAATGGACCTGAACAACAGATCCTGAGAAACTTTTGGTACGATGTCCGCCTGATGGACATTATAAGTGTACCAATCGATTCGTCGCGATAAGGCGAGTACGAATCTGATGTTCTTAAAGCCAACTAATAACCCTGCTTCACGAAATGCTGGATTGAACACCCTGAAAAAATCCATGGCGGCGAGCTCGAGGTGCATGTGAAGGATTGCGGAAACTAATTGTGGTGTACCAATAAATCAAGTGGGGTGAAAATGGTAGTGGAACATGGTAATGTTCTACGTTGTAATTGTACGTACACCCTCTTTCCTGCTAGTAGAGCATCTGGTTGCAGAACATGTACGGGTTGTAGAACGTCACCACTTTCAGAACATGTACTGTACAAGCACAATGCAAAGAATGCGGTTAGGTAAGGTGATGCACTTTACAAACAGCGTTTTCAACGTTTTTATTTGATTGGGAAGGGTATACAGCGATTACGGAAAATCTACGTCCTTGAGCCAGTTAGTCACGTGGTTCGGCTTTTCCCCCCAGGTTGCTAGGAACGTTTAATGGCACCAGATCACAAGAGTCAAGTACTGTAGCGAAGGGTCGCGCAAGGTGAGAAGGTTGAGAAAGAGGGTGTAATTTGTTTTGCACACTTTGACTCGTAATCTCGTGAATCCGTCGACGGTGAGCTACCAGACAACGCGGGTTCTCCGCGTTTTTCGAGAAGATACTCCCTATTGCGAGAACGAGAAAGGGACTGGTGACAGGTCACTTCAACAACAAATTGAGGCCACCTCGAGCAGCTGTGTACAAATACATCTGGGCTTGAGCCTCGAGCCCGAAATCCTTGCGATGAAATCTGATGGTTGAGGTTTGGAGGGCAGAACCTTGACCTTGCACCACAGTGAACCGTAATCTATTGTATCGTAAATAGGCAAACCGTTTTACATCCCTTGAAATACTATACGCGACGTCGAAGGTGGAAATCAGCTGACCTGCTTCCTTTGGAGAACACGTTAGTGTTCTGTGAGTGACAAGGGCTGGGGGCACTGGACTGGGCGCATCGTCTAGGGCGGTACACCCTGTCACCTTGAAAAAACTTACTATATAATGACTTTCATAATACAAGCAAAGATATGGGTGGATACGCAACCAAACTTGGTCACAAGAGTCCAGTATGAATTGTTTTCTAGAGATTTCTAAGGACGCGTCACAATCAGGCCTGTCGATTCAAGGGCATATGCCCTTAATGCCCTGAACATTCCGGGCTACTTTTGCTCCAGCTCGACTGCCAAAAGTGTTGGATTCGCACTGCACCCGTGCCCTAAGTGCCTCGCTCGACCCTTCCCCAGATGCGTTAAGGGCCCAAACCAGGCCTTCCCCTGTCTCGAAGTTTTGGTTTCTGGTTGTAGGACCCACCCCCCCCCCCAAATTCTGCCTGACCCCACCCCCCCTTTCTCCTTAGGTTGCACGAGAGGAGTGGATTTTTCCCTTAGCGTTTTCTAGCCAATCCTGTGTTTGTAAAGTGTCTAAGTCAGCTTGGAGCACCCGAATTTTCCCTTAGCGTCTAAGTGTCCCCCCCCCCCCCCCCCCTTTTCCTCCTTACACAAGAGGAGTGGATTTTCCCTTAGCGTTTTCTAGCCAATCCTGTGTTTGTAAAGTGTCTAAGCCAGCTTGGAGCACCCGAATTTCCCCTTAGCGTCTGACGCCCCCCCCCCCCCCTTCTCCTTAGGTTGCACGAGAGGAGTGGATTTTTCCCTTAACGTTTTCTAGCCATCCTGTGTTAGTAAAGTGTCTAAGTCAGCTTGGAGCACCCGAATTTTCCCTTAGCGTCTTTAAGTGCCCCCCCCCCCTTTCTCCTTAGGTTGCACGAGAGGAGTAGATTTTTCCCTTGGTGTTTTCTAGCCATCCCGTGTTTGTAAAGTGATTAAGTCAGCTTTGGAGTACCCAATTTTTCCCTTAGCGTCTAAGTGCAAACTCTTCACAGGCCCGGATTTTAAGTTTTCACTTTGGGGTGCGCCCGTGACCGTTAAGGGCGCCCAAACGCTCAGCTACACCAAAAACAGGGTCAGATGGGGAGGAGCTGGGGAGTGCAAGTATGGGTCCCAGGAACTTCGACAGGCCTGGTCACAATTGCAACACCGATCCTGTGAAAGATCGGTGTGCACAATTTACAGTGACTTCGTCATCTCGTAAAAGTTATGTATCCCGTTTTCGTTTCGCCTGTCGCGAATATCGTGCACACGCCGATTGACGAGATCGGATGGCTCAAATTGCCACATCGATCATGCAATTGGCAGCGTGGGAATTGAAATCGCGTCGCCAGTGCCAGCCACGATCGATCACCGTCGCATACTGTTGGCCAATTTCGATGTGGTAACAGGGCGACATCGAAATTTGTCGATGGGTGTCATCTGCATTGTGTGAGCGCCGTCACACGCCAGGCGAAAAGGCACGACACGTCAGCGAAGCGCGGCTCATGCGCTACCAGCTGTGTATTGCAGCTGGCACGGAGGTCCTCAACTTGCAAATCTGGTCGTGTCCCAATTGGCTCGGGGAAGCAGCCAACACTGCTCAAGCATATTGATTTCATGTTTTCGTACAAGATACACACAAATTCGGTGTTTGGAGCCGATCCTTCCCCGGCGTTGTAATTGTGACGCGTCCTAACTATCTCTAACCTAAATGTACCGAAAAAGAAAAGCCGAAAAATCCTACAATTTACCCTCCATAGAATGATGGGGACAGTTTTGAGTCATGCTTACAAGTGGCGGAAAGATGCGCAAGAAATCAATATGATATGCACACAAGAACCTTGATGACATTAGCGACGATTAGGGTGTATATGCTGTTGTTTGGTTGTGGGATTTCTCACGTCTTGCCCCCTCGTTCCTCTCCTCCCCTTTCTTCACCCATTCTCTTGGGCGGCGCAGGCGCAGAAGATTTCGTCCAGCCACCATTCGCAGAATGCTGCACTGAGGCCTGAGGCGTGTACCCGTTTTGATTTTCTAACCCTGGCCTCACTCTCTCCACACCAACTAGTGCATACGTCCAGCATGAGAAGTAATGGCCCCCATCGCCCATTCGCGAAGACTAAAATGCCATGTTTTCGAGGATTCTGGATTGGGAGGGAGGAGTCGTTTGCGCGACTACCATGGCGATTGTACAGTGAGTCAGTGACCTCAATGGGGCGCTGCGAGCAATTCAGATACAGTACAGTAGTAATGGAAGACCGTGGGCCGTGGCAAGCCAACACGGCAGACTGAATATCATGCGGAAACAGTGCAGGGAAACTGGCGCTCGCTGTGTCTTTCGATCACGTGCTCGTCTTCATATCAGTCAGGCTGACGTCCGTTCATGTTATCGCGACCGTGAGCACCAGCTACCACATCGAACTTCCACGTCTTAGAAGCTCCACAACAACGATTTACGTTTGCCCCCACAGCGCATGGTTAGTAGCAGCTTGTCCTGAGACCCTCCTGGCCCCTCCTGCGAGCTCCATCTTGTCGCGTTTCGCTGCACCAGGTGCACCAGCAGCCGCAAGCACACCACAGTCATCGTCGCCTTGGCCGCGACCCATTGCAACTCAACCCCACCGCTATGTCCGTCGCCATGGCCGACCGCTCTGCCGCTTCAACTTGGCAGCTCCTCCCCCCCGCATCCACCGTTATTGCCGAACGCGTTGCCGAATCTCCGCGATCCACAGACCCGCGCCTCCTCTCGCGCGGGCGTCGAATCATGGAGCGCGGGTCGGACCCGCCTCCGCTCGCAGCTGACGCGGACGTGGACGCCGCCGCGACAATTTCAGGGGTAACCTCGGAAGCCGGCCCCGCCAGTTCCGCATGCACTCCAACGAGCCGCTCCGGCGCCAGCGGTCTCGTACGAAGCGCGAGGCGGCGAATCCCAGCCCCCACGAGCCCGCCCAGAGCTGCGAGCAGCGAGTCTCCCATGTCCCCTGGTTCCATGGTCCGTGGCGCGCGGTCGGGGTCCGCATCCGCGCCCCGGGGTGGAGGTGCGAGTCCGCCGTTCGTGGACGGGAGCGTGCTCGCCATCCACGGCACAAGCGAGGGCGCGATTGTTGCGGTGAGGAAGGACGCGCTGAGCCACTGCGCGCCGAGCGACTTTGCCGTCCACATGATGACCCCCTGCACTCGCCGCTCCCAACAGCCTGCTGCAGCCGCGCAACTCTCACCCGCCTCCGCCTCTGCCTCTGGATCGAGCGCCGAGGCGCGGAGGCGCGCGGGCAGTCACCGGCGGTCGCTGTCGTGCCCCAGCCACGACGCCCTCATGGCCGAGGCTCTCCAGCCGCTTCCCGCGCCCGGGCCGCGCATGGCGCGGTGCTCGGGGTCCAGCAACAACCTCGCGCTCATCGCCGCCGCCACCGCGCCCACACCCGCCATGCCCTCGCCCAATCGCCATCGCGCCCTCTCCGCCGCCTCTGCCGGCAGTCCCCCGTCGGATTCGCCTCCGCGTGCAACAGCCACCACGCCAGGCGCGACAGTAAACCGTCGCGTTGGCACGCGACCCAGGGGCCTCGACAGTTCCTCCTCCTTTCCCGCCGCATGCTCGTCCCCCGTCTTCACCTCGTTCGCTCCTTCGGTCTCCACCACCCCCATATCACCTGTCGCTTGCCCCACGACGCCTTCGGGCCTGCCGCCTCGCTCCCGGAAACCTGGGAACTCGCACAGCAGCGCGTATCCGCAGGCATCTCCACGTCCCGCATCGCTTGACGAGCCTGCGATGTTCGCGAGTGACGGTGACCGATTGCGTGCGACGTCGCCCACTTTCGTACGAATTGAACCCCCGTCACAGAGCACGGCTGCCCAGATCATGGCGAGCAGCCCGTGGGCGCGCGAGGAGTCGCCGCGATTAACGGCAGCAAGGGGTAGGCAAGGCGGGTTCAGCCCTGCGGTCAGCCCTAATGCGCTCAGCCCTACTGCGTTCGCATTCCCTCTGCAGAGTGACTCGATACTAAGCCCTCACTCAGTGCCTGTTCTCAACCTTCCTTCGGAAGCAGGCAGAACTGGAAAGGCGTCCGCAAGCAGTCAAACGGCTGGAGTTATGACTGCAAATGCCTTCGCCTCTGATGCTCGGGTTGCGCCTTTGCCAAGTGACGAGGGGAGCGATTCGGATGATGATTTCATGGGGCTGTACGAGACGGTGGCACAAAGGAGGGCCATGGTGTCTGCTGCACAGCACATGCTGGCCGCCGCGGCCTCAGCCAAGCCAGGCCCCACCCAGGCTCACAGCACAGCCGCAAGTGGTCATGGCGGGGGCTCACAAGGAGTGAGTGGGGTAGTGAGCGGCGCGGGGGATGGGAGTGGGCGACAGGTGCAGGGACGGAGCCGGCGCAGCATGTCTGCAGACTTCAACTTCTCTTCATGGGCCATGGAGATGTACGATACCGCCAAAGGCAGCAGAGGTGCAGAGCGGCGAGACGCCCACAAGGGGGCTGTGGCGCCGAGAGATGGAAGCGCGCAGCGGTCGCTGGGCGCTGGGAGCAGAGGCAGCACTCCGAATAGCAGCAGGAGCAGCAGCAGCAGCTGGAGCAGCCTGAGCCGCCGTGACAGTAACGGCAGCAGCAGGAGCATCCGCTTAAGCACTAGTAGCAGCAGCAGCAGCAATGGCAGTAGTGGCAGCATCTTTAGCGTGTGGCTGGATGACGAGTGTAGTGAAGATGCTGAGATAAACCCTGCTGTGCGCATTGACTTCCCACACGGCGTGCACACACAGATTGCAGAAAGGTTAGAGGTGCGTGGCAGGGTGGTGGGGAGCAGGCAGCTGAGTGGCAGCAAGAAGAGTGTCAAGTTCAATCAAGATGTTGAATGGATCTGACCCTACATGTTGCGGGACCACTTGGGCCTTCTCTTGTTACGGCAGACATGCGAATACCCAACTGCTGTAGTGTGTATAGCTGGTGAATTCTGTATACATGTATGGTATTCATTGAAATGCACTCAAAATCTTAACATTCAATATACCGTATCGTTATTCTCAACTACACGACTCGTTCCGCACCCTTACCGCATCACACCTTGGACGTCCAGTGCAGCATTCCCCCCTAACCCAGTGAAAAGCGAACCCATACATGCACCATGCAACACACGAGCTTTTGTTGGTCAGCCATGGACACGCTGAGTGTCCCTGTCACCGCCGATCTATCAGATCGCTGCGTCGAATCACGACACGCGCACAACACGCCCCTCGCATTCGACCTGGCGATGAATGGCGAAAGTTCGGCGTGCGGTAACACGTCTTTGTGTCAATGCGCACCTCGCCAGGAAGGCCTAACTTCCGAAACGGTATTAACGGGAATAGAGGCGCCACGTCAGCCACCGCTGTCGCCGTCGTCGCGCTGCGACAATGCGAGCACTCACCACCGATCGGACGAGGCCATGTCCCTTCGACCGGCGGGCCTCCAGCCGCTGGACGCGGAGGAGTTCCGCGCGCACGCGCACCGCATGGTGGACTATATCGCGGACTACTACCGCGATATCGAATCACACCCCGTTAAAAGCACCGTCGAGGTAAAGCACTCATATATGTGCCGGGTCCCTTCCGCTGCCCCCACCGATCCTTCCATCCCCGAGCCTCGCTCCTCTGGTCCCATCGTCCCACGCCCTTCCATCCGCCCTCGTTGGCTCGAGCGCGGCACCTCTCATTCCCCTCGTGCCCCTTCCTCTTTTCCCTCTCCCCCTCGTCACACGCGGCCATCAGCCAGGGTACCTGCAGCACCACGTGCCTGAGAGCGCACCAGAGGAGGGCGAGCCGCTGGACAAGATACTCGCAGGTAATGCTGTCGCTGCTGCCCGCTGCTGCCTGCTGTTGGGGTGCTGCTGGGGCGTCGCCCGTGGTGGTGTTTGCAGCGGTCGTGTTTGTACCGGATATTGTGCTAGTGCGTATCATGGCTCTCTCTCGCATTCCCTCTCATCCCACTCGCACCCCTCTCTCCTCCCTTTCTTCCCACCATTCCCCTTCCATCGCGTGCAGACGTGTCGGGCGCCATAATGCCGGGCATAACGCACTGGCAGAGCCCGTCGTTCTTCGCCTTCTTCCCCGCCAACAGCAGCACGCCCGCGCTGCTGGCAGACATGCTGTGCTCCGCGCTCAACGTCGTGGCCTTCAACTGGCTCGCCTCGCCCGCCGCCACCGAGCTTGAGACGCGCGTGCTCGACTGGTTCGCCCGCCTGCTGCTGCTGCCACCCGCCTTCCTTGCCTCTGACTCCGGTGGGCACCACTGCTGCTGCGTGCTGCGTGCTGCATGTTGTATCCTCAGCAGGACGAGCAGCAACCATCATACATGCACCAAAGTGACAACTTTCCCTGCTGCTCCCCCCCTTCTCATCCGCACCCACTACACATCACCCCCATTCCCTCCACTCGTATTAATCAACCCTCCCAACCGTAGAATCTTTCTCATGTGTCCCGTGGCTGTGCTGTGCGTGCAGGCGGGAGGGGGGGCGGTGTGATTCAGGGCACTGCGAGCGAGGCGGTGCTGGTGGCTGTGCTGGCAGCACGCGAGAAGGCCCTGCGCGCCCTGCACGCACAGGACCAGCAGCAGCAGCACGCACACTCACATGCAGCTGCAGGGGCAGGCGCAGGGGGGGCTGGTGGCGAGGGAGGGGGAGGAGAGGGGGCAGCGGTGGGGAGCGGAGGCGGGTTGGAGCGGCTGGTGGCGTATGTGTCGGACCAGACCCACTCATGCGTCAAGAAGGCATGCCAGGTGCGCGCTGCCAGGCCAGGGAGGGGCATGGGCATGGGCATGGGCATGGGCATGGGGGCATGGGCATGGGCATGGGCATGGGCACGAAGGTGAGGTTTTTCAAGGGCGGGGGGTGTAATGGTGGTGAGTGTGTCACGGCAGTGGCACATTGTGTTTGAGCGCGGGAGATAGGTTCCCTGTAGGGTGCATGGTTGTTTCGTCAGTGCTCTCATGCTCATTACAATCCCTGGCTGATGCCACCACTGCCAAGCCAAGCACCAGCGCCTCCTTGAACCACTTTCCCCTCCCCTGATCCCCCTCTTTCCTTCCCTACCCGCCTCTCTCACTCGTTCACACACACATACACATCCGTAAACATGCTCACCCGCTCCTTTCCCCCTCACCCACAACAACCCTTCCCCGCCATGCGCCCCACCCACCCCTCTCCTCCCCACCTCTTCCCCTGCCATCAGATCGCGGGCATTCCTAGCGGCAACCTGCGAGTGCTGGCCACGAGTGCGAGCGAGAGCTATGCGCTGCAGCCCAGCACACTGCAAGAGGCTGTGGCCGCCGACACACGTGCAGGCCTCGTGCCCTTCTTCCTCACCTGCACTGTACATAGACGGCTGCCGCTGTGCTGTGGGCTGGGGCGTGCATGGCTATGGCATGATGCCATGTGACGCGTGTGTGGGGCGATGCACACACACACACACACACACACACACACACACACACACACACACACACACACACACACACACACGGCATGGATTCTCATGTGCATGCATACCATCCCACCTTCCGCATTGCGAGCTGCTCTCCACCAATCATACTCCTTTTCCTCGTCCCCTATTTTGTGTTGTGTCTCCCCATCCCGCCTCCTTCTCTACCTGCCCTCCTCCCCCGTCCAGGTGGGCACCACCTCGTCCACCGCAGTGGACCCCATTGAACCGCTCGCCGCCATAGCTCAGGTGCGAATGCCCTGAATTCATCTGAGCCGCGGTAACCCCTGCGCTGCATGTGTGCTTCTGCACTGCGCACACTCACAGAGCGCTGACCCCTCCCCGTGTGCGCCTCGCATGCTACCCTCCCCGTGTGCGCCTCGCATGCTACCCTCCCCGTGTGCGCCTCGCATGCTACCCTCCCCGTGTGCGCCTCGCATGCTACCCTCCCCGTGTGCGCCTCGCATGCTACCCTCCCCGTGTGCGCCTCGCATGCTACCCTCCCCTTGTGCGCCTCGCATGCTACCCTCCCAGGGCTGCATCCATGCATGCACGCCCGTACGCCACAACACACCGCCCATCTCTGCATTCCGTCCCTGCCCACACTCAACACGGAGGTGCCTGCAACGCATAGACCGTGCACCTATGCATGTGCATGCAGCCGCGGGAACGTTTCAACTTAACAGCCACGGATGGTCCGCTCCCCTCCCCTTTCCGTCCCCCCAACCGCCCCCCCCCCCCCAAGGCGCATGGCATGTGGGTGCACGTGGATGCAGCGTATGGAGGAGCAGCGTGTGTGTGTGAGGAGCACCAGCAGCACCTGGCGGGCGTGCAGCACGTGCAGTCGCTGGCCGTGAACGCACACAAGTGGCTGCTCACTAACTTCGACTGCTGCTGCCTCTGGACGCAGGTCGTCCCACACTGCACAAGGGGGGAGTGTGCACGGGGGAAGGGGTGCAGGGGAGGGGGGTGTGCAAGGCCAGGAGGGGTGGAGTTGTGGTTGTGGGATGGACTGAGGCAGTGGCTGGGATGAGGCGAAAGGACCCTTGCTGTATGTGTGCATGGTGGGCGTTGGTGTGCATGGTAGGCGTTGGTGTGTATGGTGGGCGTTGGTGGGTATGGTGGGCGTTGGTGGGTATGGTGGGCTGGATGATGAGCGGTGGGTGCCGGGGAACCATCACTGCTGGTGATGTGTTGCTATGCTGCTCTGGCATGCCATGCTGCTCTGGCATGCCATGCGGGCACGCACAGGCATGCATGCATGGCAGGGTCCATGTGATGTGACCACCACTGGTTGACCGCACCCTCACCTCCGCCTTCTCTCGCATGCCCCACACCCCACTCGCACCCTCAACCCACCTGCGCTACCCGGTGCTACTGCCGTGGGTCCCGGCAGGACACCAAGGCAGTGCAGGACGCGCTCACCACCACGCCGGAGTACCTGCGCAATAAGGTCAGCAGCACTGCCACCACTGCATGCCACCACTGCATACCAGCAGTGCGTGCCAGCAGTGCATGCCAGCAGTGCATGCCAGCAGTGCGTGCCAGCAGTGCGTGCCATCGGGGTGCTCTGCTTGCTGTCCTGCAAGGTGCCATCCTCCCCGTCTCGTGTCCTGGCTCGCCTCTGCATGCCCATCCATCTACCCACTCGCTTCTCTAGGCTTGCTATCACACCCCACCTTCCCCCCATGCGCGTCTCGCCTTTCTCATTTGCGCTCCGCGCGTGTCCTGTCGTCTGCTCATCCGTGTGCTCATGTGGGAGGGTGGGTGGGTGGGCGGGCATGAGGGGGAGCAGGCGTCAGACAGCCAGCGGGTGCTGGACTACAAGGACTGGCAGGTGCCCCTCGGCCGCCGCTTCCGGTCAGCCTCCCCACCATGCTCCACCGCACTGCTCCCGTGTCCCCATGCACCCGTGCTCCCATCATTGCATAACCCCATGTCCTCATGCCGCTATGCTCCTACGTACCAAGTGATTGCTCCCTGGGCGGCCATAATCCTTTGTGGCGCGGCTACCATCATGCATGACATTCGCATCACCCATGTTTCCACGCACATCTGCACACTCTCACTCACTCTCGCTCTCTCCTCCTCCTCCTCCTCCTCCTCCTCCTCCTCCTCCTCCTCCTCCTCCTCCTCCTCCTCCTCCTCCTCCTCCTCCTCCTCCACCTCCCTCTCGCACTCTTCCAATGCCCTTTCTGCTACCCCTCCGCGGGAGGAGGGCAGGGCGCTGAAGCTGTGGTTTGTGCTGCGCATGTTCGGAGCGGCACAGCTGAGGGCGTACATCCGCCACCACGTGTCCCTGGCCTGCTGGTTTGAAGCCGCTGTCTGCGCTGATGCCCGCTTCCAGGTGCTCACAGGTTGCCGCACCCATGCATGCCCACGCACTGCCGCACCCATGCATGCCCACGCACTGCCACACCCATGCATGCCCACGCACTGCCACACCCATGCATGCCCACGCACTGCCACACCCATGCATGCCCACGCACTGCCGCACCCATGCATGCCCACGCACTGCCGCACCCATGCATGCCCACGCACTGCCACACCCATGCATGCCCACGCACTGCCACACCCATGCATGCCCACGCACTGCCGCACCCATGCATGCCCACGCACTGCCGCACCCATGCATGCCCACGCACTGCCGCACCCATGCATGCCCACGCACTGCTGCACCCATGCATGCCCACGCACTGCCGCACCCATGCATGCCCACGCACTGCCACACCCATGCATGCCCACGCACTGCCGCACCCATGCATGCCCACGCACTGCCGCACCCATGCATGCCCACGCACTGCCGCACCCCATGCATGCCCACGCACTGCCCACCCATGCATGCCCACGCACTGCCGCACCCATGCATGCCCACGCACTGCCGCACCCATGCATGCCCACGCACTGCCGCACCCATGCATGCCCACGCACTGCCGCACCCATGCATGCCCACGCACTGCCGCACCCATGCATGCCCACGCACTGCCGCACCCATGCATGCCCACGCACTGCCGCACCCATGCATGCCCACGCACTGCCACACCCATGCATGCCCACGCACTGCCACACCCATGCATGCCCACGCACTGCCGCACCCATGCATGCCCACGCACTGCCGCACCCATGCATGCCCACGCACTGCCACACCCATGCATGCCCACGCACTGCCGCACCCATGCATGCCCACGCACTGCCACACCCATGCATGCCCACGCACTGCCGCACCCATGCATGCCCACGCACTGCCGCACCCATGCATGCCCACGCACTGCCGCACCCATGCATGCCCACGCACTGCCGCACCCATGCATGCCCACGCACTGCCGCACCCATGCATGCCCACGCACTGCCGCACCCATGCATGCCCACGCACTGCCGCACCCATGCATGCCCACGCACTGCCACACCCATGCATGCCCACGCACTGCCACACCCATGCATGCCCACGCACTGCCGCACCCATGCATGCCCACGCACTGCCGCACCCATGCATGCCCACGCACTGCCACACCCATGCATGCCCACGCACTGCCGCACCCATGCATGCCCACGCACTGCCACACCCATGCATGCCCACGCACTGCCGCACCCATGCATGCCCACGCACTGCCGCACCCATGCATGCCCACGCACTGCCGCACCCATGCATGCCCACGCACTGCCACACCCATGCATGCCCACGCACTGCCGCACCCATGCATGCCCACGCACTGCCGCACCCATGCATGCCCACGCACTGCCGCACCCATGCATGCCCACGCACTGCCACACCCATGCATGCCCACGCACTGCCACACCCATGCATGCCCACGCACTGCCGCACCCATGCATGCCCACGCACTGCCGCACCCATGCATGCCCACGCACTGCCACACCCATGCATGCCCACGCACTGCCGCACCCATGCATGCCCACGCACTGCCGCACCCATGCATGCCCACACACTGCCGCACCCATGCATGCCTACGCACTGCCACACCCATGCATGCCCACGCACTGCCGCGCCCATGCATGCCCACGCACTGCCGCACCCATGCATGCCCACGCACTGCCGCACCCATGCATGCCCACGCACTGCCGCACCCATGCATGCCCACGCACTGCCACACCCATGCATGCCCACGCACTGCCACACCCATGCATGCCCACGCACTGCCGCACCCATGCATGCCCACGCACTGCCGCACCCATGCATGCCCACGCACTGCCACACCCATGCATGCCCACGCACTGCCGCACCCATGCATGCCCACGCACTGCCGCACCCATGCATGCCCACACACTGCCGCACCCATGCATGCCTACGCACTGCCACACCCATACATGCCCACGCACTGCCGCACCCATGCATGCCCACGCACTGCCGCACCCATGCATGCCCACGCACTGCCGCACCCATGCATGCCCACGCACTGCCGCACCCATGCATGCCCACGCACTGCCACACCCACACATGCACGTGCACACAGGCACACACACACACACAAATGCATGTGTGTGGGTACACATGGTAACTGACATCAATGAACCCCGCACAGAGCCTGCCTATGCACTGACGAGCCTGCTCTGGACCGTGCACACTTCCTGCCCCACACTCCCACTCATGCCCCCCTCCCCCAACCACCTCTCTCCCCCCCCGCACCCTCTTGCTCCTTTTACGCACCACAACCCGGCACAGCTGATGGCGCCGCGCACCTTCGCCCTCGTGTGCTTCCGCCTGCGCCCGCCGGGGCAGGCAGAGCAGCACACGGAGGGGCACGGCGGAGGGGAGCAGGGGGGCGGGGCGAGGGGCGGTGGTGGCGATGAGGGGTGGGTGCTGAACGAGGCCCTGCTGGAGGCCGTCAACTCGTCGGGAAAAGCCTTCCTCACTCACACTGTAACACTTCTTTCTTCCCTCTCCTCTCTCCTCTCTCCTCTCTCCTCTCTCCTCTCTCCGCTCTCCTCTCTCCTCTTTCTGCTCTCCTCTATCCTCTATCCTCTCTCCTCTCTCTCTCCTCTCTCCGCTCTCCTCTCTCCTCTCTCCTCTCTCCTCTCTCCGCTCTCCTCTCTCCTCTCTCCTCTTTCCGCTCTCCTCTATCCTCTCTCCTCTCTCCTCTTTCCGCTCTCCTCTATCCTCTCTCCTCTCTCCTCTCTCCTCTCTCCTCTCTCCTCTCTCCTCTCTCCGCTCTCCTCTCTCCTCTTTCTGCTCTCCTCTATCCTCTATCCTCTCTCCTCTCTCTCTCCTCTCTCCGCTCTCCTCTCTCCTCTCTCCTCTCTCCTCTCTCCTCTCTCCTCTTTCCGCTCTCCTCTATCCTCTCTCTTCTCTCCGCTCTCCTTTCTCCTCTCACTTGATCTCCGAGCATAAGTCTCTTGTGGACCCACTCCCGCGTCTCCCTCATTCTTTGCCTTCGCCCCATGGAATGAATGAAGGAGAGAGAGAGCAAGCGACCAGTTCCATGATGCGTCCAGTGGCGTGCACAGTTGCAGACTGGGGAACCCTGCCCGTTTCTTGCTCATACGGGATCCACTCGGCATCGCCCACACATTCCCATAGAGCAGCTTGAGAGATGCATGGAGTGGGGGAGCGGGGTTGCACATGGCATCCACTGATACTGATCCCACAGCCTTCTGTTTGCAGTCTAGCACCTGCTTCTCGTTCTCCACCCCTCTTGCTCTCCCCTTCCTCTCAGTCCCTTGGGTCAGCGTTGCACATGGGATGGTTGCAGAGGCACCAATGTGTCTCCACTGTCCGCCTGTCCTGTAACAGACGCTGTGTGTGTCGGATCCTCCAAGGGCCAAGCACTTTGTGACGAACCGTTTGCACATGCAGGTACTGTCGGGGAAATTCACCATTCGCATGGTGGTTGGGGCTTCTACAACTCAGAAGAGGCACGTGGAGGAGGCATGGGAGCTCATTCAACGTGAGGCTTCACGCTTGCTGGAGAGGGTTTGACACCACAGGACATCCCTCTCCCGTTGCATGATAGAGGAAGCCAAGTTATGGCTTTGGAGTGTCAAGCATAATATTCACATAGAGTTGTCACTAATCATTCATGGATGGCTCTGATTACTCCCATTCGAACTTGGGATTAGTGCACAAGCGTGACAACTTAGATGTGGCATATTTGAGAAAGTTTAAATCAGCTCGTTCCCCTGATGTAACGTTACCAGCTATCACGTGTCGCAACCATCTGTCGCCTTCCCCAACCTCTCACTCTCCAATGTTTCCACTCACGCAACAAGTTTCACCGCTCTACATCTATCTTCACCGCATATCTCTCCCATTATCCCTACACTCCCTCGAGCTCCTCGCAGCACTCCGGATGCGCTCCCTCCACCACCTTCCTCCCCTGCTCTCCTCACGCTCCTCTTCAACCCTCGCTGTCCCTCCCTCCGTTATTCGTTATAGTCACGTCGCCATGGCCTGCTGCAGCCTTCAGCTCGCGGCTCCCACCGCCACGTGGAAGGGTCAGGCGCAGTCGCTCACGGCTGCCGGCGACAAATCGTCGTTCTTTGGGCGACTTCCTGCTGTCTCACGGTCGCCGCTCGTCGCCGAGTACGACTCGCACTGCACACCTTCCCGCTGATTAGTAGCATGTTCCGCGGTCTAAGCCGTTGCTTTCGCGTCGTATCCGGTTGCGTCGCAAGACGGAACCACCAGCGCGCTCAGATCATTCTCGGGTGTTAGCGGCTGGAAGGGCCTCTACATAGTTTCACACTCGAAACTTAGCAGCAGCACTCGGCGGGGCGTAGTGAGAATCGTATTCAGCTATACCGTCAGTGTGGGAGCTTAGTTCCATCTGATTGCAATTCGCGGGCGATCTCAGGTGTAGCGGGGGACCACCACTTCACGCGGCCGTGATTCGGTCGTCGTATCGCCACCGCATCACGCCGTCACTCTTAATTTCGCCCTCGCCTATTTCAGTAGCCTTCCCTTCCCCGGCCCTCATGCCCCCCCCCCGGGGCCCCCATGCCCTCACCCCGCGCTCTCATGACCTCCTACCACCCTCTCATCCCCCCCTTTCCGTCCGCCCGCACTCTTCTCCGCCCATCCCTCCCGCAGCGTCAGCGTCGTCGCGTCGCGCCCCGCCGCGTCCAGGCGGGTCTCCGCCGCTCCGCGCGCGTCCAGCGGGCTCATCGGCGTGAGCGGCGACGTGGTGTCGCCGCGCGCGGCGCGGCAGAAGATCCCGCCGATGCAGCCGGTGGTGATGACGCCGTCGGGCCCGGCGGACCTGATGTCGGCGTTCCTGCGCAACCGCATCATCTTCGTGGGGTCCGCTATCAACCAGCAGATGGCGCAGCGCGTCATCCAGCAGCTCCTCGCGCTCTCCGCCGTCGACGACCGCCAAGACATCAAGGTGCGCGCCCGGCCGGCAAGGTTGGGGGGGGGGGGGGGGGGGGTGTTGAGACGACGGCAAGGCGTGGCGCCGCAAGGGGGGGCAAGGCGAGCGAGGTCGTTGAGTTGCTGCCAATCGCATTATCGCATTATTGCGCCTTCCCGTAGATCCGCCCATTGCGCTTTCCCTTTCCCCTAACCTGAGCATTCCTCTTCTGTTCCTCCCTCTCCCCCTCTTCCCCTTCCCGCCACCGCGTGCGCGTGGCGGTGCCGTGGTGCGCGTGCGCGCGGCACAGATGTACATCAACTGCCCCGGCGGCAGCACGTACTCCGTGCTCGCCATCTACGACTGCATGGCCTGGGTGCGTCCCCCGCACTACCCCCCTCCCACCCCCCTCCCACCCCCCCCTTCCCCCTTTCCCCCCTCACACACACACACACACCCCCACAACCGCACATTTGCTACCCTGCCAGCCCGTGCCGTGTGCGTCGCGCGCCATGGCACGTGGCCTGAGGTTGTCGCGTCTCGCTTCCACTCAACACGCCCCGCTCGCTCACTCTTCCGTACGCGCTTGCGCGCTCACTCTTCCGCCCTCTGCGCCACCACATATGGGAGAAGCACCATGCTGCCACCACCACCACTCGCATGCGCTATCTTATTGACCCCTGCCTGTTCCTGCATGCATCATCTGCACGTGCACCCATCATTCCATCCATCATCATCGTCGTCGTCGTCGTCATCATCATCATCATGCGTGCACCACTCATCACTTAATCCCCCCTCCCCACCTCCTTCCCCCTCCCCACCCCCTTCCCCCTCCCCACCCCCTTCCCCCTCCCCACCCCCTTCACCCTCCCCGCCCCCTTTCCCCTCCCCGCCCCCTTCCCCCTCCCCACCCCCTTCCCTCTCCCCACCCGCTTCCCCCTCCCTCCCACCGTCGCTCCCCCTGCGTGCGTGTGAGCGCGCGGGCGAGCAGATAAAGCCGGATGTGCAGACGGTGGCGTTCGGCATGACGGCGTCGCAGGGCGCGCTGCTGCTGGCGGCGGGCACCAAGGGCAAGCGCCTCGCCATGCCCAACTCGCGCATCATGATCCACCAGCCCCAGGGGGGGTGCGGGGTGCGCTGGGGGATGGGCGGGGGGGAGGGGGAGGGAGAGGGAAGTGGAAAGGGGGGGAGGACGGGAGAGGGAAAGAGTGGGAGGGGGAGGGGGAGGGGGAGGGGGAGATGGAGAGGGAGAGGGAGAGGGAGAGGGAGAGGGAGAGGGAGAGGGAGAGGGAGAGGGAGAGGGAGAGGGAGGGGGAGGGGGAGGGGGAGGGGGAAGGGAAAGGGGATTGGGGAGTGATGCAGTGGCAGTCGCAGGTGGGGCGTGCATGGGCATGGCTGAACACATGCTCACACCGGCCCCTCACCCGCTCCCTCCACCCCATCCCACCAAACACCTGCACCCCACCCACCCCACATGTGCACACACATGCAAAAATCACGCACTCACGCATTCACAAGCGCATGCACATGCATGCATGCACGCATGGAGATGTGCATGCATGCAGAACAGATGTGTTGCCATGGATACAGGCTCACGAATGGTGATTGGTTCCACGTATGCCATGTCCACTTGTTATGGCATGTCCACGTGTTATGCCATGTCCACTTGTTATGCCATGTCCACTTGTTATGCCATGTCCACTTGTTATGCCATGTCCACTTGTTATGCCATGTCCACTTGTTATGCCATGTCCACTTGTTATGCCATGTCCACTTGTTATGCCATGTCCACTTGTTATGCCATGTCCACTTGTTATGCCATGTCCACTTGTTATGCCATGTCCACTTGTTATGCCATGTCCACTTGTTATGCCATGCCAAATCCTTATCTGCTTCCTCGCCCTGGGATGGATTGACTGGTTGTGCCATGTTGCTGTGTGTGATGCGCCATGTGTGATGCGCCATGTGTGATGCGCCATGTGCAATGTGCCATGCATGCAACAGGGTACATCAGAGGACGTGCGGCGGCAAGTCAACGAGGTCATGTCGTCTCGTGATGTAACCCCACTCACCCCACCTCCCTACCCTCTTTGTCCCCTCTCTCCTCGCATCTCTGCTCTTCATCTGCCCTGTCGCTGCACGATCCCTCGCATACTCGCCCTGCATGTGCCATACCATGCCATGCAACAATGTCAACCTTCCCCTTTTGCACCCATGTCCACGGCACATGTGCCATCCCTTCAACTGTCTATTTGTGTTGGAGTTTCTTTTGCCTGGCCTCGGCTCTGCTGCTCCTTGTGTCGCTCACTCGCCCGGCTCACCATTCGTGTGCTCGTATGCGTGTCTGGATGTGTGTGCTCCTAAACTTTCTGCCCCCTCAACTCTCCATACATGTGTGTTCGCTGTCTCTCTGAATGCGTGCATGCATGCATGTGTGTGCCTCTGTGCGTGCGTGCATGCATGTGTGTGCCTCTGTGCGTGCGTGCATGCATGCGGGGATGCGCATGTGTATGGGGGCCATCAGAAGCTGGACAAGATGTTCTCAGCATTCACAGGGCAGCCAGTGGAGCTCATTCAGAAGTACACCGAAAGGGATCGCTTCTTTTCTGCTGCTGAGGTCTCTCCTCCCATGCCCTCCCATGCCCTCCCATGCCCTCCCGCGCCCTTACATTACGCTGCCGTGTCCACTGGCCATGTCTCCACTGTCCTACCCTTCTCATCCCGTCTCATTGTTCTCTCCACGACTGCCTCCTCATCTCGTGCTGTGGCTGACCACTCCAATCCATCATGCACTCTGCACCTGCGCGTGTGCCCTGCGGTGTGTGGCAGGCCATGGAGTTTGGGCTCATAGACGGGCTGCTCGAGACAGAGTACTAGCTCTACATACCAACACCATCCCAATATTGCTCACACTTATTCTGGACTATGTAGCTTGCCAGGCTTGTCAGTGATTCGTTTACCCTAGGTAGCATATCCATTGTATTCCTGTATGTCGTTTTCAGAAAGCAATATGCAGGATCTGTCTGTAGAACTGGCAAGTGCGGTGTAGACAAAGGTTGGCTAAGAGGTGTTGGAAACAAGTGATCTAAGCGCTTCTGTTGTGTCGAAACACTAAGTCGTAAACGAAGCGAAGAACAACGAAGCATCGGCGAGTCAACCATCGGAGGTTGAAGAAGGAAAGTAACTACTGGAGGTTACGCGAAAGTCAAAGGTCAGCGACCTTTGATGTAATGAATGTGAATTCATTACTGTAGAGGCTACTCCTAGCGAGGACAGCCCGAACTGTTCGCGTCAGTTTGGGTTCAGCCTACACTTCGGCCCGAACCACTTCCGAGTCGTCCGCACCAATCGCGACACTTCCAACCCATCAACGTCCCGAGGTCCTCGCCTGCCACGGTTTCGACCCTATAAATGCTTGCTTCTTTATCATTCTCGTCATTCTGTAGTTCTCATCCTTTTTATAAAGTCTTCCGCGCACTCTTCTTAGTACGCGAAGACGGGTGAACGGCGGAAGCGTCGGGGTTACGCGGCGGAAAATACTTCGGGACTGCTTCAACAACCATGATTTTCAGGGTTTTATTCCAACGGTGGGAGACGGGTGAACGTCTGCTCGCCAGCTGTTTCAGCGGTTTACGGTGTACTTCGAAGCCATCTGGGGAAATTCTACAGCGAGATCTGCGGCGTTGATGCGGGCTAGGTTCCGTGAAATTCGGTCCCGGTAGACCCATAGTTCTGGGTTCCGCACAAAAAGCACCTCCTGTTGGTGGGTGGCTAGTGTGGTTAATCGCAGGAAATAAAAATGGCGACGGGTGGGCACGCTAGATACACCGGTTCTTCAAGGGGATAACCTGCAGGTGACCAAGACGTACGAGAAATTTCAACACCGACACTTACGGGTTTCAGCAGCAGTACTGGGAGCTGGGTCTTTACAAGAGTTCGGCGGTGACGGCCGACAATTTCGCGCGAAAACTGCCGTGGTGAACTTCATGGTGGCAAAATCTGCAGAGTTTCAGGGGTACCAGCCGCAACACTGGTGAAATGTATCACAACAGGTGGGGGGAGGAAGGACAGCTTTTTCGCCTCTGCCCCGAAGTCTTCGGCGAGTCACGACAACAGCCGAGGTAGCTGACGTCATCGACAGTTCGAGTTTTCAACTTTGAAAAATATTTGCGAGGTCAGGGGGAAGAGCAGCAGCTGTTTTCGTCCCTGCCCGGGAGTTTTCGGAGCAACGCGACAAAGGCCTCGGCGAGTCTGGACAAAACTGCCGAGGGCGCCGACAGCTGGAACACTACAGCGAAGATTTTCGCCACAGCAACCAGCCAAACGGCAGCAGCAATTCGGGATTGCAGCAGCTGCCAACTGGAGATTGGGCAGCAATAAAGTGATTCGATACTACCACGCGGGGGATTACGAGGTGGCAGTCACGAGAGATGCTGCAGCAACAATCGCGACAACAAGACAACAAGAAGATTTTCTTAATGCCGAGCCCCTGCAAAAACGATATTCTTTCGAAGGGACTTCGACAGAGTTTACCCTGGGCATTTTCGGGGTTTTCGACAGTGAAGATTTCGCCACCGACCGCAATTTCGACTACACAGCGGCTGACTTTCAGGCGGGAGGTCATAACACTTGGTATTCTGTCCTACCCTCGGCGTCAGGGGGGGTTGTGGTTTTGTGCCCGCGCACCTGTGCACATTTTGGTGGGCAGCAGTTCTCTTCCAAGAGGGGGGCGGGGGGGGGGGGGGGAGAAAGAGTGCTCACGCACTGTTGTTGGCAGGCCTCTGACATTTCGGCAGTTATTTCTGACAGTTCGTCTGACACACCCAGCACGACGGGCGCACGTGATGGCTTCATCGGCATCGACGGCACCAGATTCATCGATCTCTGACAACGCGTCAGAATTCCCGCCGACATGACATTCACCAGAACCATCCGATACACATCCGCGACATCGACGGTCTTCCTTCGTCGAACGATTTGAGATCGACATTCGCTTTCAACCGCCCGATTGACATCGGCAGTATCACGGCTGACATCCCAACTTTTTTAAATTCGCCTGGTCAACGCGCTCAGCCACGCGTCAACTCGAAAGTCAACATGCTTCCGCACCGTCAGATCAGTTTCAACCGAGATCTGCGGTTTTCACGCTACTGCAAGACTCGCCTACGTATAAGGGCACCTTATTTAGAAGGTGGGAGAGTGTAATGAATGTGAATTCATTACTGTAGAGGCTACTCCTAGCGAGGACAGCCCGAACTGTTCGCGTCAGTTTGGGTTCGGCCTACACTTCGGCCCGAACCAATTCCGAGTCGCCCCGCACCAATCGCGACACTTCCAACCCATCAACGTCCCGAGGTCCTCGCCTGCCACGGTTTCGACCCTATAAATGCTTGCTTCTTTATCATTCTCGTCATTCTGTAGTTCTCATCATTTTTTTAAAGTCTTCCGCGCACTCTTCTTAGTACAACTCATAACATTTGACCTGACAAATACAGCGCGACAACAAGGACAAACAACTTACTTGTTATTAAGCAGTTGCCCGAGTCGTCACTGTATCGAACCGCAACAGCAACAGCAAAACGGTCATTAGCTGTATCTCTTCGTATTCCTTGTACTCTTATAAAAACCTTGTATCTCCTTGTTTTAATTAATCGATCTTGCCCTCACATACTAGCGCAAGGTGGTTCAATACTTATCATTAAAACGCTTCCGCAACTACAACATTCTTACTCCGAGTTTAGCCTTGCAAAGATCCTAAGGGCTTTTCTCAGCCCAACATGGTATGAGAGCTAACAAGGCAAAACTCCACTTCGTTCAAACTCCTACAACATCTGAAGGCATGGCAACACAGAAGGAGAGAAGCTCCTCTAACGGCTCTCCCGGCACTACTCCTACTCCACCTCCAGCCTCTGGCCTGCAGACAGAGGGAGATACAGCAACAAGACCAGCAGCTGAGTCTACTGAGACTCCCGCGCCGCGAATCAAGCGACAGGCTTCGACCCAAGTATGATGGAGAAATTCTTCTCCTTCAAGTCCTTCTACGAGCAGCATCAGCAAACGGCACCTGCGCAGTCAAACATCAGCAACAACAACAACAACGACGTTACGCCCATGAGCCTCGACGGTTCATCCTATGCGCGCGGAAACCAGCACCAACCCACCTTCGCTCCGTACGAGCCTCAACGCGGCTCGATCAGCTTCATGCCGCACCAGCAGCCTCAACCTGGACAGGAGAAAACATTGGATGCACTTCAGGTTCAATCACAGTTCGCGCACGTTTTGAAACTTCAGACATCAACACCTTTCGACGGGAAGGACTTCTATACCTGGTCATTCGAATTTGAGTTGATGATGGAAGGCGCGCAGATTCTTGGATTCTTCGACGGGTCCCTGCCACACCCAACACACGGAACGCAATACGACAAGCAGCAGTACACGTATCAGTCAATGATAGCATACACAATTCTGTTGAGGAACATAACTCCAAACCAGCAGCAGAACATGGTATCAGAGTTGGTTCCCTCCTGGGACTGTTCCTTCCTTGGGCCCACCACTGATTTTTTTTTTTTTTTTCTGACCGAAGCGCGAGTCGCCCCTGCCCGAGGCGCACCCCGTGGGCCGCCCTCTCGTCGCGTCCCCTGCCCTTAGCGGCCCGTCGCGCCCTTCTAGAGGCCCCTCTCACGGCCCCTCGCGCCACCCCTAGCGGCCCCGTCGCCGCCCTTAGCGGCCCCGTCGCCACCCTTCGCGGCCTCGTCGCCACCCCTAGCGGCCCCGTCGCCGCCCTTCGCGGCCCCGTTGCCGCCCTTCGAGGCCCCTCGCGGCTTCTTCGCGGCCCCGTCGCCGCCCCTAGCGGCCCCGTCGCCGCCCTTCGCGGCCGCGTCGCCGCCCCTATCGGCCCCGTCGCCGCCTCCAGCGGCCCCGTCGCCGCCCCTAGCGGCCCGTCGCCGCCCCTATCGGCCCCGTCGCCGCCTCCAGCGGCCCCGTCGCCGCCCCTTGCGGCCCCGTCGCCGCCCCTTTCGGCCCTGCCTCGACCCTGCCCCGGCCCCGCCCCGGCCATGCTCCGTCGCCTGTCGCGGCGCACCGGGGACCCGTGCACCGCGCGCGGCCCCCCTCAGGTCGCCTCGACAGGCGACGGGAGGGGCGACCTGGGGGGGGGGGGCGAGCGTCGCCCCTTCTGCCGCCTGTTTTGGCGCCCTGGGAGGCCGCGCGTCGCCCCCCCCCCCCCCCGTAACCTCCCTACCCGCCGTCCCGCCCTGCCCTGTGTTAGGGTCTGGGGGTGGCGAGTAGGGGGTGGCGGGTGTGTGGTCTCCCCTGCTCCTCCTCCTCCTCTGTCTCCCACTGCTGCAGCTGCCGCTGAGGGGGGGGTGGGTGTGTGGGAGTCGACGGAGTGGTGCTAGGGGGTGGGGTGTGAGTGAACCTAGGGTGCAGCAGCGGGTGTGTGAAATGGGGGTGGGATAGTTTGGGGAGGTTGAAGGGGGGTGGCCGCCGTGAAGCCCGCAGCTCCAGTCGCCCGTGAGACCGTTGCGCCAGTCGCCCGTGAGCCCGTTGCTCCAGTCGCCCGTGAGTCCGTTGCTCCTGCCGCTCAGAGTTAGCCGCGGAGCCAGTTACTCCAGTAGCCCGTGTGCCAGTTGCTCCAGTTGCCAGTGTGCCAGTTGCTCCAGTTGCCCGTGTGCCAGTTGCTCCAGTTGCGCCGTGTGCCAGCAGCTTCAGCTGCCGCCCACTACCTCCTCTCCTCTCATAGTCCCTCCTCCTCCACACTTGCCCTCTGCGATAGCCTCTAGCTTTGATTACATTTGTGAACTTTAAACTGTTGCTTCTTGTACTTGTGCTCAGAATGTGTGGTGACATTGTGATCCACCCTGACCTTGTTCTGCTTT